GCGGCAAGAACTAGAAGCAACCAAAGAAGCATCGGTTGTCAGGTATAGCAGTTAGTCGTAAAATTTTCTAGTAATTGAATCAAAAGTAAAGTTCTGAAATCCTAGGTTTAAGTTTGTGATAATTGAATAATGTGTAATTGAATTAAATGATCAATTAGATTTATTGTTTTTTCATTTTTAAATTATTAATCATCATTTGCGAGGTTGTTATAACTTAGTTTGGTGATGATGCTGATCAGCTTTTTATTTTTGAATTTCTTGTTTATTCAATTTGATTTTATTTTTGTTGGTCATATCATTAATTTTTGATATCATCACGACTTATATCGATGAATTTACAATAATCTTGAGTTTGGTGGTGCTGTACTATTGTTTAACAAAATTATGTCTATTTATCTTGTATTCATTTGTTAGGATGATATCGGCTTGATGATATGATTAAATTATTAAATGATATCATTCATTGTTTGGATGATATGATTAATTGATTGGATAATATCTCTAATTTCTAGGCTAGATACTATAATTCATTGCTTGGATAACATGATTAATTATTTGGATGATATCTTCAATTTCTAGGTTAGATGATATCATTTATTGTTTGGATGATATAACTATTTGGATGATATCGGTTGGATGATATGATTAAATGGTTAGATGATATCATTCACTGTTTAGATTATATGATTATTGTTTGGATGATATCTTTAATTTCTAGGTTGGATGATATGATTGATTGTTTAGATGATATCTTTAATTTGATGATATCAATCATTGTTTGGATGATATGATTAATTGTTTGGATGATATCATTTATTGTTTCTATTATATCATCCATTGTATGAATGATATCATCTGTAGGCTGGATGATGTCATCTATTTTGTCTATGATATCATTTATTTCATGGATGAGATCATCTATAGGCTGGTTGATATCCTCTATTGTTTATATAATATCTTCTATAAGTTAGATGATATCATCTATAGGTTGGATGATATCACCTATTGTATGTGTCTATGATATCCTCCATTACCTAGATGATATCCTCTGTTGGTTCTATGATATCATCTATAGGATGGATGATATCATCTATAGGATGGATGATATCATCTATTGTGTCTATGATATCATCAATTGCTTTGATGATATCCTCTATTTATTATATGATATCATCTATAAGTTGAGCTTGTTGTTTTGAGGCTGGCCTCACGAAACTATCTCCTCACGAAAGCCTCACACAATAGTTTCTCATTGCTTTTGGCCTGGTTTATGAATATGGCATTCATTATGTTGTGGTAAATATGGTAATTATTAAGGGGTACTTGAGTTTAATTTACAACAACTTATGAAATAAGTTAAAATAAATTTAAATAGGTTAAAAAAGTATAGATAATAAGTTTAGGTAGTTGTAGATAAGTAACAATCAAGTGAATGTAATGCTTTATTATACTAGGGATTCCAACGTGCGCGATCCGTGCGGTATAGCTGGCCCTTTAAAAAAAATTATTATCGAAGTTTTTATGTCCTATGCCTATTTGCGTAATATTTTATTAAAACTATTTGCATATGTAGTTGTGAATGGTTGAAAACTTTAGTTGAGTTACTTTGATGATTTAGTGATTGGATGGTAAAAAGATATTGAGTTTGATCTAGAAATATAAATGTCTAATAAATTCTAAATAGGAATATTAAAACATAAAGAAATGAAGAGAATAAAAGATGGCTTTAAATTTTGAAATAAACATAACTTTTTTAATCAATTTAGGGAAAACAGAGACAATTTTATTGACTTTTAAAATCAAATGAGGGCAAATATGTAAGTGGACATTTTTAGGGATATAAATGTCCATGCACTATTCATAAGAGTTTAATTAAACTTTGTATAAGGTAGGTGTAGACACCTGATTGTGTCTCCCCAAAAACCAAACCAAGTGATGAGTACCTTTCACGTCTTTGATTATCGAGTTAGGTGAAGAGTTGAAGAGTCTCGTGACTTTCCCTTTAGCCATGACCATTTATAACCTTTCCTTAAATGTTTTAAATCAAATCATTTAATTCGTGTCTTTCAACCCAAAATCATTCCTTTCGTGTCGTTAAAATCATTCATTTCGTGTCCTCTTTATAAAAAAAATTCAAACCAGTCTATTTTGGTTGATAATCCTAGTCCTATTATTGTGTAATTGGATGGGGCTTGAAAAGAGCTTTCCAACGATATATTATAAGCCTAAATCCAAGTTATAACGAAGAAGTTATGGCCGAGCCCAAACCGAGTCTTATCTACGACCCAATGACCGTGTGGAGGGTCCATTAACCTTAACCTCATTTCTAAACCAATTAGGATTTATTACAAGCTTCTAGAATCTTGTAGAAGGTTGTTTTCAATCATAAATCCCTTAGGATTTATTATTAGCTTCTAGAATCTTCTAGAAGGTTTTAATTTATCCAGTTTTTGAAAAGATAAATACTTAAGAATTTTACTTCGGATAAAACACTTGTTTTTTTTTAATGATTTTAAATCTGATAAAATTAGAATACGTACGGAAATTCAATTAACCCAATTTGATTGGAAGTCGGATTCCGTACGGATTCTATCTTCCAAAACCATCGCTGAGCGATAGAACCATCGTGTCACGATAAGCCTGTCGCGGCGCGATGGATCTTGTTTTACTCCGAGTTGGATACTGGTTCTCTTTCTGAATTTCATCCCTCGTTTTTCCTTATAAATAGAGGTCGTTTTCCCCCGTTTTCAATCATCAATAAGCTTGATCACTAACAATCATCATCTAATCCTCTCTCTAAGCTAAAAGCTTTTCTTTCTCTCTCTCTCTTGATTTTCTAGCCTTAACCTAAACACATCCTTGATACTTTTCCCTAATCACACACCATACTTCCTTCACAAGCTTCAAATACTCCAAGCCAAGCTTGAAGTTGCCTTCGATCTCGACGTAAAAGGTTGATAGTTCTAAGGGTTTGGTCACAACTATATTTCAATTATTATTTGATTTATTTGGTTTGTTTGATTTAATCTTTCTTGAAGTTACTACGTGTGTATTGTTTTGATAGAAAGAGATACGAGGCATCAAAGTGAGTAATTCGATTACCTAATTATTCTTTTGATATAGAAATCATGTTAGAGTATTATTTTAATTCCTAGTATCATGTTAGGATGTTTATATTAATTCCTAGTATCATGTTTAGGGTGTTAATTAATATTTCTAATATCATGTTTTTCGTATCATGTTTAGGATAAAGCTTTGATCTATATTATTAGTGACATGCTAGGGTTGGTTATTAATCCGTTTAGTATCAAAGCCTAGTGATTAGGGGATTTTTTTTCCCGCCACATGGACCAATTAAATCCTGCCACGTGTCATCCATGTGGACCAACCAGAGTCAGCCACGTGTCACCTCGTGAGAGGTCCAAAGTAGACCAATCAGGGCATGACATGTGGCAGACAGATTGCCAACTGGGAAAGTGGCCTAATACGACCCAAATACCTAGGCAAGCCCAGTCAGTCCTAGGTTTCTGAAACCTAGTACTGGGCACACATTTCAAGACCCTATAAAAGGGAAATGTTCCCCCGGAGGAACAATATTCAGAAATTCCCAAACACACGTGTACATTGATTGCTACACATTAAACCCAACATTAATTGCACTCTTTGAGAGCTAAGGCTCAGATTTCAAGATGATCACTTCTCTCTTAAGAGGAGCCTTATCCCCTTTACCTTCCGCACTATTTACATCCTAAAACTTGTTGGCGACTCCTTTATCTATAGCTTCCTACCCTTTGGACGCCACCATGCCTAAAGGCATGATCAAAACGGGGCTCAAGGTTGAGTTTGAAAAATTCCCTACAGTAGGATTAATATAAGCATGATATTTATTTTTTTTTAAAAAACATAGTGTTGTAACTCAATAATAAAGAAGGAAGAAAATTACCCATTATAGATCCACTGCAAACCTTACTCGAACACAACTCGAATCGAAATTCACTTGGATCAAACATTACTTGCACTTGGATTTGGAACCTAAACTTGAAGGAGATGAGATTAACTTGACCTAAATGGCTGAACGTGACTTGACATCTAGTATTTTGACACGATCCAGCCTTAACTTGAGACTTTGGTCTATGATCTCTTCTTAACTTGACACGACTTGAACTTAACTCGATTATCTATACTTAGTATATAATAACACAAACCATTACACAATTAATAGCATCACATGTCACACTTACCATTTAACCTTTTTTTCTTCTTCTATTTTTTATAAAACATTTACATTAAAATCATCAATAAAGTTAATTCATTACATACAATCAACATTATTTCTTTCACATTCCCACTTGCTTAAATATAGTTTATAGAACGTTAAACACTTAGCTTAAACGGTTAAAGACTCTAGGCATTCTGTAACTTGCATAGTTTAAGTAACAAAATGAGCTGTTTCATTTTCTTAAAAAACACCTCTAGAAAATAATCTTTAAGAAATAACATGTGCCTCGAAAAGGCTAGTTTGAATTAAGAAAATTTTGTTAATTACTACCATAAAAAGGGGGCCTTTGTGAATTACTACCTCTAATAAAAAAAATTGTTAATTACGTCCCCTAATTGTGATAAATTGTACCGATTACTACCTAAGTGGATTTTCCGGCTAATTAACTTATTAATGACATCATTTATCATCCTAATCCTAATTTAATCATTTTAATCCTAATTAATCTTAATTTAATAATTAATAAAACCCTAGCTCCCGTCTCCGACGAGTATCCACCATAAACCGAACCCCCTCCTCCCACGGTGACAACCCCCATCCCCCGTCGTGCACCACAAACCCAACTCCCTCCCCCAGTGAACACCATGAGCCCCTCCACCGCTAAACACCATGAACACAAGGGAACAAAGTCTTGGGGTTGGGAAGGGGTGGTTTTCACGGCTAAGGGAGGGGTGGAGTGAAATTGTTGGGGCTCAGGAAGGGGAAGGGGCGGTTATCGGGGTCTGGGCAAGGGGTGGGGGTTGTTTTCAGGGTTTAGGGAAGGGGGAGCGGTAATCGAGGGCTATGGATGGTAATAAGGAGATTTTTAGGGTTGGGGGAAGGCGGAGGGGCGGTAATCAGGGGTCAGGGAAGGGGAGGAGATGTGTTTAGTTGTGGGGGAAAGGTAGAGGGTGGGTTTTCAGTGGTGGGGCTGGGGAAGGGGTGGAATTTCTGGTGGTGTGGATGGGCTAAAGGGGCTGCTAGAGGTGGAAAGGTGGTAATTTAGGGTTTATTTAATTAACTAGGATTTAAAAGCCACTAATTATAATTTGGCTGGAAAATGATGTGATTAATAAGCTTAAGTGACCAGTAAAGGAAAAAAGGTAGTAATCGGTACAATTAATCAATTTTAGGGTAGTAATTAACGACTTTTTTTAGGGGTAGTAATTGTCAAAGACCCTCTTTTTAAGATAGTAGTTGACAAATTTTCCTTGAATTAATAGGCTTACATAAATCCTTAACGCGTCTATTAAATGTAGCAAAAGATCTTTTGCCAACATTTACTTCATTACTTGAGAGTTACGAGTACATTTTCACCATATTCCCAATTAACTTTTTTTTTTTTTTTTTTTTTTTTTTTTTTTTTTTTGTTTTTTTGTTCCCACTTATGGAGTACATTATTTATTATTAAACACATGGAAAGTTGAGGTTCAACAACAGTTTTTTGACAACCCTCTTAATTCAAATCAAATCTTTTTCATAACAGTCCTTTTTCCACCCTCAATCCCAAAATTTAGTAGCCGTTGTACCCCTCTTCTTAAAATTAAAATTGTACACAGTACCAATACTATTTAGTCAATCTAATTAATCAGACAACATACAAACTACAAAAAACCCCTCAATTTCATTAGATTTGGTAACCCCTTTTCTATATTTAATCCACTCCAAACTTCCTTTTTCTTTAAATATCTGGGGTTTTCTAAGAAATTTCCTTTTATACATTACTTTTCATCAAATTTCTCCCCTTTTCTGGGTTTTCTCTGCATTATCTGAATTCTGAACTGGGTTTTTTCTACATTTGCTATTCATTTCTGGGTTTTTCTTATTAATCAAAAACCACCCATTTTAAAAGTAAGTTTTTAGCCGTTGTGTACAAATTTTCAGTATTTTTTTTTTTTTTTTGGATTTTTAAAATGTTTAATATTGAAGTAACTGGTAAGTTTTTATTGGATTCCATTGATATTTGTAACTTATAAGTTGAAAAATTTTCCTTCCAATTCAACACATTACCTTCACGATCTCCATATTTTTTTGGGGAAAACAAAAGTTGGAAAGAGAATAATCCCAGAATTCTCGCCGACTCATTGAGTCACCGACCCACTCACTTCCTTTATATATAAACCGTTTTCTTGTCAAAGTCTTTCCTCATTAATTCTCAGCAAGCTATTTTTTTCCCCTGAATTTTTCAGTAAAACCCACAAAAAAATTACATTTTTATTCAGTTCTCACATTTTATATTGTTTTCTACAGAATTTCAGATTTATTCAACCAATACCCACATAAAATAAAAAATAAAATACCCATTAATTTTTCAATTGAAAAAATGTGGGTTAATTCTGCAAGTTATTTGATGATTTGGGTATTATCATTACTGTTATTGAGTGATAACAGTAAAGTTGAAGGGCTTGGAGTTAATTGGGGAACACAAGCCAATCACAAATTACCTCCAAATACAGTGGTACAAATGTTGAAAGATAATGGGATTCAAAAAGTGAAGTTGTTTGATGCTGATGAATCTACTTTGAGTGCTTTTAGTGGTACTAATATTGAAGTTATGGTTGCTATTCCTAATGGTGAATTAAATGCTATGCTTGATTATAAACGAGCTCAAAAATGGGTTGAGAAGAATGTCACTCGCTACCATTTTAGAGGCGGTGTTAATATCAAGTAAGTCTCTCTTTGAACCATCCATCTATTAGTTCGTGTTCGTCCTCGAGCTCGTGTGTACTGTATACAACATATTTAGTTGACCCTCAAATCACATAAAAGTTTACTTTTTGGGCGGTTAACATTTATTTATGTGATTTAGAGTTGCCGACCTTGTTTTATACAATACATCCATGGTGTACAAGTTTTTTTGTTACGTCATGCTATATAATACACCCGTGGTATACAAGATCTTAGCCGCTAATTCTATATTGGATCTGAAAAAGGGAAAAGTGCGAACTCTTTTTTCGGTTTACTTTGCATCTTTTTGGGTGATTGTGATTCATGATCTACTTGCCATGTGATTTGTGTTTATGAAGCTGAGTTTTAAACGGAATATGTTGGAAAGTTGCATCATCTTTTGCCCCATTTGATATGCTGATATATATATTCTTTAACCGACCATCATGTGATTGTGATAAGGTCCTTAATTAGAGAGTTTCATGATCCTAGAAGTATGATTAGTAACATAGATTAAGCAACCTAGATTAGTTAATTATTTGACTACTATATAGTATAATTTTTTGAATCACTTTTATTTGTATTATTGTATTACTGTGCTTGCCCTTTGAGTAAGATTATGGAGAGTTGGGGACCATTAAATCTAGTTTTTGTTTGCTTTCATTTGAAGGATGTTTTTAATTGCTTCAAAACTTCTTTTACAAGCATTTATTTGGTTCATTTTTTAGTAATTAAGTAAAGTTTGGTTCATTTATTTAGTGATTAAAGAAATATTTAAGTATGATTAGATCTCCAAACTACCTGAAGATTGTCCTGAGAGTGTTAACAGTAGATATTTGAATCACCTTAAATGCATTTAGAAGAATAAACTAGGAGAGTTATAAACTTAAATTTTCAACTGTCTGATTCGATTTGTGCTATTCGCAAACCTCCCTTTGAACTTGAATGCATTTTTGGCTGTCTGCCGTTTCCTGAGGCAATTGTCTGCAAGTAATTACAGTAAGAAACAAAATCTTTTCTCGGCTTCATGCTTGTTTTCTCTGGATGAATATTACATGGACTGGGTTAAGGGAAATATCTGAGCAGTTGCCTTCCAATGATGGGAACTTATTACCCCTGATACAGATTACTGAGGCGGTTATTGGCGCGTATCGAGTAAAAATTGAACTCTACAAATTGTCAATTACAGTAGCATTACTGTAAGAATCACACGGATTTTAGGATGTTTGAGATTATTTTGTTCAGAGTCGCGTAATTGGTTGTGTTTCTAGACGCTTAATTGGCTAGAATGATCATTGTTATTAAGCCTGACATAATGTCCTTACTTTTTAAGCTATCTACTGATGATTGAACGCCTGACTGGTATATGAGCAATTGGGGTTTGCTCTATAATGACTTTTATTGTTTTTAATTAGCGTTATAATGTAAGAATGTCGATACATCTTCACATTTGACGCCAATTTTTATGCTGCAGATATGTTGCGGTTGGAAATGAACCTTTTCTAAAATCTTACAATGGCACATTTGAGAATGCTACTTTGCCCGCCCTGAAAAATATTCAAAATGCTCTTAATGAAGCCGGAGTAGGAGACATTGTAAAGGCAACTGTGCCCCTAAATGCTGATGTCTACGAGTCTCCACAGGGAACTCCTGTACCTTCAGCTGGAAGATTCAGACCTGATGTAGCTGATCTCATGACCCAGATGGTCCAGTTCATGAGTCAAAACAATGCTCCTTTCTCCGTCAATATCTACCCTTTCCTCAGTCTCTATGGTAGCGTTGGTTTCCCAGTTGATTATGCATTCTTTGATGGGGGAGCTGAACCTATTCAAGATAATGGGATCCAATACACTAATGTTTTTGACGCCAACTTTGATACATTGGTTTCGTCCTTAAAAGCAGTAGGGTTTGGGGACATGCCAATAATTGTCGGGGAGGTTGGATGGCCCACGAATGGTGATGTTAATGCCAATATTAACAATGCTATCAGATTCTATCGAGGCCTACTGCCTAGACTTGCAGCTAACACTGGTACTCCTTTGAGGCCTGGAAATATAGAGATGTACTTGTTTGGGCTCCTTGATGAAGATGCAAAGACTATTGCTCCTGGGAACTTTGAGAGGCATTGGGGAATTTTCAGGTATGATGGGCAGCCGAAATTCCCTATGGATCTCACAGGCCAAAACAGGGATGTCTATCTTGTTGGTGCAAAGGATGTCAAATATCTCGAGAATCAATGGTGTGAATTCAACCCGAATGCTAAGGATATGAGTAAACTGCAAGAGAACATGAATTATGCTTGCACTTTTGCGGATTGTACACCTCTGGGGTATGGATCCTCTTGCCAGAACATGGACACCAATGGGAATATTTCGTATGCGTTTAATGTGTACTTTCAGACCCAGAATCAGAATCTTGAGGCCTGCAACTTCCAAGGCCTGGCTAGGTTAACTATGAAGAATATCTCGACAGATACTTGCAATTTCACCATTCAGATAGCCTCCTCTGCTCTGAGGATTGCTGTACCTGCGGCTTTCTCTTTGATCATCACCGCGCTGATGTATCTATTCCTTTGAGTTCGATCTTGTGGATATAATGATTCTGCCATTCTTTTGCTTTCATATGCTTGGTCTGTCTGTTTCTGTATTCTGAGATTTTGATACTAGAATAGAACTTCATAGATTATTTTTTGATGATTTATATAGAACGTCAGCTGCAGATAGTTTTTACCATGATAGTGTAATCTGAGTTGACAATGTGACAGTTGATTACTCAATTTCACATGCTTCAGTACAATAGTATATTTTTTATACCCGTTTGTTGGGTTGATGATCAATTTCAGTTCCATATTCAAAGAATTATGATCGTTACTAGTTGATCCTATAAATTTGTTTCTGAATAAAAAATAGTTCATTATGGCTGAAAATTACAGGATCAGATAACAACAGTGCCGGATCAGATATGCACCCCATCACCTTGAGTCGCTCTCACACGGGCTTCTTCAACAACCGGCTTTCTAAGCTTCTACAGGATATTACTACCAATTGAAGCACTTGCACACAAAACCAAAATCATGGACCCATTTAACTGTCAACATGCTTGAATCTTGATAACAGTAGTTGTGCTAGAATATGGAGCTATTTTATATTGACTAACAGAACAATAATACTACACGAGAAACAAGAATTTTTTCCATCAAAACAAAGCGGATAGTATTGGGTTAGTGGAAATTGATAATGGGTCAAACCATTGAAGAACGTGGGAGTTGTTGAAATTGTAATACTCTACCACATACGAGTACCAGTTACCATCGTGTATGACTGCATTCGTTCTTGTAAGTTGTACTCGTAACTTGTAACTTGTTCTTTTTTTTTGGCTAGATAGATTCTTTTTTTTTTTTTTTTTTTTACAAAGATCACTAGCTAAGAAACAAACAAAACGACAACCACTAACTAAAAAGACCAACAAAGAAAGTGGCGATCACGAGCACGGACAGCCAACTAATGCGCAAGAGCAACCCAACTTTGAGGTACCTTGCAAAGACGACAAGCAGAAAAGCAGAGGAGAATCTCCTTATTCTCCTAAAACAACCACAAATAGGTGATATCAGTAGAGCTTGAATGTTGAAACAAGGAGACCAGGCAGCACAGTCCATATAAATGAGAAGACGAAGATAATCCTGACGGATGGCACCTCGAAGAGCACACCTGCAACTCCGCTTGTAGAGCGATAGCGACGCGACTGGCCTTTACGCTACCTCCAAGAACTCTATCTGACAAAACCTCTCGGAAAAACCAACCGGAGCCCGCGCGATTATCCTGGGTAAGCCAAGCACCATCAAAGATCAGACAATGGTCGAGACGATCCGAGGCGCCACCCTGCAGACACAACGACATCAAATCATGAGGAGGAGAAGGAGAGCGTCTGGCCATAGTCAAGAGATGTTGTTGAAATTCAAGAGCTTGCACGGCCGGAGTAGTCCATTCCTAGGCAAGATGGCGAATCAAGGAAGGAGACCACACTGCTTGCCAAAAAATACAATGATTCTTCGTAACCCAAATAGCCCAGAGAAAAGACACGAAAGACACCAGACCAACAAAATCCTTAGACTGCCTATAATACGAAATCACAACCACAACCTAGTCTAGAAAAGGAGTGAAACCAAGGAGACTTCCATTCAAAGTTAAAAGGTTGGGAGACCAAAATGAAGGGACAATCGCGAAAGAGATGCGAGGTTGTCTCAAGATTGACGCGACAAAAAGTACACACTGGATTAACCGGAAGGCCCTTAGAGAATAAAGTTGCCAAAAGGGGTGAAGCATCGTGGAGCAACTTCCAACCAAACATCTTAAATCGAGGAAGAAGAGGGAGACCCGAGAAACATTTCCACCACGGCGCAGGAGCTGGAGTACTAACAATCGAAACAACAAATTGTTGAACTAGCAAAGAATAAGCCGATTTAGTAGAAAAACGACCATCCACCTAGAAAACTTCCAGTAAACAAAGTCATCCATGGCTCGGTGCGGCCTTTCCAACGCCAAATGGCGCTAAGCCGAAGAACTATCAAAGAGCCGATAATCTTAGAAGTGTCCCACGCGCCAAAGCGCGGAATAATAATGGAAGAAACGTGAGTCAGCGCCTCCGACTCAGACACAAAAGACTTAAAACTCAAACCTCTGAGAACCCAATCATCGTCGAGGATCCAAACTAACCTTCCAAGCTAAACCTTCCAAGCTAAACCGTTGTTCAAAATAGACTGACCTTCCATCAAACCCCGACAACCCAAAGAAGAGCGAGACATCATTGCTGAGCCAAGAGAACGAAGTGAAGGGTATCTCGCACATAAGACCCTGGAATGAGCAGCTGAGGGTGCTGGAAAATACGCCATCATTGTCTGGCTAACAAGGCCTGATTAACAACAACCGCACTACGAAGACCCAAACCTCCCAGTCCTTTGGGAAGATGTAAAAGCGAAGCTGACCGAAACGTCGTACCCCTGGAAGAAGAGGAGGACCGCCGCCAGAAGCGGGCTAACATATGGTCGATGTGGCTACATATCGAAGCTGGAACCTTAAAGACCGACAAGACATGATTAAAAGAAGCCACCAACACCGAGTTAATGATAACCAACTTTGCCGCTGCTGACAGGTTGAGGGAATCAGACTACGAAAGGTGATCAGAGACCTTGTCAATAAAAAATCAAAACTCCGAAACTTTACTACGACCCAAGTCGACCAGAAGACCCAAATAAGCACCGAGGGATGACTGATGCTGTCACTCAAGCACCTCGCCAGATAATCCCTATAATATGGAGGAGTAGTAGGACTGAATTTGACAAAGGAATTCTGAAGATTAATCATTTGGCCCGACACCTCATAGAACTGCTGAACTACCTGTAAAATGTTATCACAAGCGGCTGGTGAAACCTGAAAAAAACAACAGTGAATCATCCGCAAAGAACAGATACGAAATGGAAGAAGCTCCCCTCGAAATATGAATGCCCTGAATTTGAGACAAACTCTTTGCGTGTCGCAGCGAGGCCGAGAAAACCTCTATGCATAGGACAAAAAGATACGATGATAGAGGATCCCCCCCTGTCGCAGACCACATTGAGGCTAAAAAGCGGGCGATGGACTGCCATTCACCAAAACCTGATAAGATATTGTCGAAACACACTGATGAATAATATGAATCCAATACATAGGAAAACCAAAGGCCTGGAGAGTACGTAACAAAAAAGACCAATTAACGCGATTGTAGGCCTTATTCATATCGAGCTTAAGAGCTGCATAAAACCGCTTACGAGCTTTAGAAGCGTTCATATATGATAGAACCTCATGAGCAAGTAAACCATTATCCAACATAATCTCCCAGGAACAAAGGCATTCTGAAAATCCGAAACTAAAGAAGGCGGAACTTGACGAAGATGGCCCATAAGACATTTGGCTATACACTTGTAAAGAATATTACAGAGGCTAATGGACCAAAACTGGGAGACTAGTTTTGGATTGTCCACCTTTGGAAGAAGAACTATAAAAGTCCAATTCCAGTCCTTCAACATATAACCATGAGTAAAAAAATACTGAACTGCAGTGACAACAAACGGTCCCACTTCCTACAATGAGTTTTGAAAAAAAGCAAAAGGAAAGCCATCCGGACCGGGGATTTTATTGTCATCAATGGAAAATATAGCCGCTTGAATTTCCTCATCCGAAAAAGGAAGCAGAAGGTGATGTTGTTAAGTAGCATAAAGCTAGGGCAAATCTAGCTGATCCTACCAGGAAGTATCAAGAACTTCAATGGATGAAGAAGGAATATATAAATCTTTATAGAACGAAAGCACGAGCGATCAAATCCCCACCGGATCCAAAACCCACATCCTACTCGAGTCCTTTAGACAGTGAATAACGTTCTGTCGTCGGCGGGACTGAACCAAAGAGAAAAGTAATTTCAAATGTACCTCCTCGGTGGCATCCCACCGGATTTTGGCACGTTGTCTCCAAAGATAGATTCTCTTACTATATCAAAAATTCAAAATGTAAATTGTAAAATGTTTACTTAAATGAGAAGGATAAATCCCTACCTTATTAAGAGTTTGACCATACGCTTATGAATAGTGTTATGCCAACTATATCTCTTAAACTGTCTATTTACATAAATATTCTCATTTATGCATGTGAATCACATGTGTGACATTTTATTTTTATTTTTTTTTCCTTTTGTTTTTACCTGCGTAGCTCTTTGGCTTTCTTTGTTTTTTTTTTTTTTTTGCCTTTTCCTCCCTACCTTTTAAAAAGTTTAAGATAACTCTTATAAATAGTGTTTAGACAATTATACCCTTTAAAACTAAAGTTGTGATAAAAAACCAAATCGAAAGAGATTCCCGGACAAGGCTAGCTATGTGCGCGCTAGCCACCCTAGTGATAAACAAAAGTGGTAAATCGAATATAAAGTGTACATATTTGGGTGAAATAGCAAAAGTTAAATCTTGAATGTTGATTGTAAGTTACTAATTTGTAGTAATTGTACATTCATGGTTTTTGACGGTCTATTAAATAGTTCTCTTTTGTATAATCATGTTGTTTTGTCTTTTCGATTCAAATCTTCTATCTTAAGATTGTGTGACATATCATGTACCTTTAAGGGTATGTTCGGCAAAATATAGTTGTAGAGTTGGTTGTAAATTGTTGAAGTAATTGAAGTAGGTGTCAACAAGTTGTTAGCTATGAAGATAGACAATTAAGTATGGGCATTTTGATATGAAATAACCATGGAAAAGAGGGGAATATCAATTAACAACAAATTCCAATGCAACAACACAAAACAAACCTATCTCAAAAATACCAAGATAAATGAAATAAAGGTTCTTAATCGCCAACACCAAATAAACTAGGATTAAGGTGTAACCACAAAGATTACAAAGTAGCAATCACAAAGGTAGCAAATAATCATCAAGATTAAGGAGAGAGAACATCTCATTGATTTCAAATTAAGCAAAAGATGTTTTAAAACAACTAGCTTAACCCTATATACTCCCTCCATGTTTTATTAAATGTTACACTTATCAAATGCTGTCGTATTAAATGTTACACTTATCTTTTGGCAAAAAGTTACATTTTAATAATTTATCACTCCTCTCATGGTCCCCACCCAAACCCACTATTCCTTTTTTTTAAAAAATTTATTTCTTTCTTCTCACCTTCATTACTTTCCAATAATAAACTATTACCCCAACTATCTTTCTTTTACTAGTACAATTTTTTAATACTCCAATCACTCCACTTACCTCTTATCTTATTTAAGTCAATTAAATTGCCTAAAAACAACACTTTTAAAAAAAAAATGAAGGGAGTATAGGGTATTACAAACAAACCTAGACTTCTTAAATTACATCCCTAGGAGTATAAG